AAAGTAAGGAAGAACCTGCTAATAACTACAGCTCTTTGAAAGTGTTTGATCTGTTTTTCTGTACCTATTTACATAGGTTGTATGACCACTTTGGGGATAGAAAGGAAATCCAAGCATCTTATACAAATTAGATTATATTTCTTTTAACAAGGTTTTTACAAGGTATGATTCTATATTGACGCAAAAATTAATAATTGAATTAGTTTCTTCTGCAGAATGCTGCCAAATAGATGTATCTATTATGTTAACACCCTAGACCAGGGATTGACAAATTGTACTTCCTGGGGCAAATCTGACCAGTCACCTCTTTTTGTAAATAATTTTACTGTAACATAGCCATGACCATTGATTTACATATTGTCTGTGGATTTTTTTACCCTATAATGCACAGTTGAGTAGTCACAACAGAGACCTCATGACCTGCAAAGTCTAAATATTTACTATTTAGACTTTTTTTTTTTGAGTTGGAATCTCACTCCTTCTCCCAGGCTGGGGTGCAGTGGCATGCATGCTCACGGCCACCCCTGTATCGACCTCCTGGGCCTCAGCAATCCTTCTGCCTCAACCTTCCAAGTAGCTGGAACTACAGATGTATACTACCATGCCCGGCTATTTTTTATTTTATTTTATTTTATTTTATTGTAGAGATGAGGTCTTACCAAGTTGCCCAGGCTGGTCTCAAACCCGCGGACTCAGGCAGTCCACTGGCCTCGGCCTCCTAAAGTGCTGGGATTACAGCCAGAGCCACTGAGCTCAGCCACCATTTAGACTTTTACCAAAAAAAATTGACAACTGCTGCCCTAAACCTAAGAAATACTATGTTGGAACCTATCTCTATTCAGTTTCATAAGTACTTTATTGTCATCATTATTTATTAACTCATATCAATAAAGACTTAACCATAATAATATAAACCATTCTGAATACTTAAATAGAGGGAATTTAATGCAGGGCAGTGGTTACATGAATGATAGAAGTGGCTTAAAAGTCCATAGATGAGCATCAGCAGGAAGATGCCACCACTTCTACCTGGAAGACACAGGAAGGAGATAGATAGTTTTGTCAGAGCCCAGAGGCTGGAATCAAACAGCAGAAACTGGAATTATAGTGCTGAAGGACAGGAAGGATGGAGTTTCGGCCTGAAGCTGGAGTCACAGAAAAGCTTCTGCTTCTGCCTCCGATGCTGCCTGAAGCACAGAGGGAAATGAAACATACCCTGGCTTCTCCACCAGTGCCTTCCATCACCTGAACCCAACATAAGTCAACTGACAAACCTGAGAAATGGAGCTTGCAGGGTGTGTCCCCCTAAAATTCAGAGCAGAGAAAAAGGGTGAGGAATGAGTCTAAGGACACCTATACCTGAGATCTGCACAGCTGTTAATAGTTGTTAAGTACTGCCTTAAGACAGGCACAGAACTAGCAACTGGTTTACATGAATCCTTATCTACAAGACAAATACTAGTACTATCCCCAGTTTATAGATGAGGCTTAGACAAGTAAGTAAATTTCTCAAGGCCATGAATAAATGACCATGTTAGAAATGAATCCAAGTCTGCCTTACTCCAAAGCTCTTGCTTTAGCTCTCTCATTTTGCAATGAGAAAAAAAGTTGTATGGGGAAGATAAACTTGCAGCTAGTTCATGGCAGCCCTAGGTATAGATCCCAGGTTATTCCCATTAGATTTCTGTACACTTTAAGCTGTTATTATAGCATTTAGAGAGTGTCCAGAGGAGACCCCCATTTACATCACAAGGTATCCTTGCACCCTGAAACTATACTGAGCAACCTTCCTATAACCTGGTTTACTTTGTTGTAAAATGGGATTATTAATTATAGCCAGCCACAAGAGTGTTGAGAAAGATTAAGCATATAATGTATATAAAGATCTTTGAACACTATACCACAGAGAAGGTACTTAGTAAATTCCAACTGTCTATTGTTATTGTTAATCTTTTTATTATGCTGACTCTGAAAGAGATTATCACAGGAAAAGAGTAGATCAAACATTTTATGAAATGTAATCCAAGAACTTTATTAAACAGTGATATTCTATTATGGACATTTTGTTTTTCTTTTATTTAGGAAGGTTGTTGGAAGATACTAAAAAAATGGTGAGAATCCACCATCTTGTCTTACCGTGGTTTCTCTTTATAAGTCCCTATGAAATGTTTCTTTCTAAGAAAAAAACAAAGATACTAAAAAAATAGCACTTTTGTTTTGTTTTCCTTTAAGTGAATGGACCGCATGATGTCTTTGTTTATCAGTTCAAGGGCTTTTTTATGTACCATTGCATATATATGTAAAATGTCATTTTCTCTTATGCTTCTATAAAGTTTCTCTCTTTCATCTAGGATGGCCTTTCCCCAATCATTCCCAACATATGATCTCTTCCTTCAGGTCCCCATGGTTTTACTTGGCTTCATTCTTTTTTTTTTTTTTTTTTTAATTAGAGTCTCACCCTATTGCCCAGGCTGGAGTGGTGCAGTGGCATGCTCACAGCCACTGCAGCCTTGACCTGCTGGGCTCAGGTGATCCTTCTGCCTCAGCCTTCCAAGTAGCTGTATCTACAGGCATGCGCCACCATGCATGCCCGGCTAATTTTTTTAAATGATTCTTTATTGTAGAGATGAGGTCTTGCCAAGTTGCCCAGGCTGGTCTCGAACCTATGGGCTCAGACAGTCCTCTCACCTTGGCCTCCCAAAGTGCTGGAATTATAGACATGAGTCACCATGCCCAGCAACTTCATTCTTAATAGTCTCCCATTCCTCCAAGTCCTTTTTCTTAACTAACACAATTCCTATACTGTAATACTTCGGAACATGCTCAAGATTTTGTTTCTCAAGCAGTATTTCCCTAGGTAATCACATGAAACATTGATCTTTTACCTATATATAGCACCTGTAGAAAACCTGTAACATGCTGTCATATACTATTTATATTGCCTGAAATAGTTTTGTAGCTTTTCCATTTGTATTTTATTTCTCCCACTTGATTGAAAGTCATGCTTGGATGGACTTTTATGAGGTTGTTGCTTTACAAATACTTAAGTAATGTGTGAAAACTTATAACTAGAGTTCAAATTACTTGTGTGTTTATTTTTGTTAATTGATGCTGTTTGCTTTTAAAGGTGGTTTTGCTGCAAAGCAGAAGCCACTGACTTTGGTCCTTGTGTGGGATTCCCTGAAAATAGCTAGAAAGAAAAGAATTCCTTTAATCTAAAGCATTCCAAAGATCCAAATATTAACAGACTATGAAATAAAAGACCCTGGAAGCAAATCCTTCCAACATGCTACACCATGTAGCCTATGGTGAAGAGTTCTTTTTCTTCTTTTTATTTAATGACAACCAAGAAGGGTATTTTGATAAGAAAAATAACCCATTAGATGTAGCATAGGAATGTCATATGATAAGTGCTGAAACTATCTTAAAATGCAGGGCTCATAATAGAATGTGGACCTGCTGCCACGATTTTCAGGCTCTGAGGCTTTAGATTTGATTTAGTAAAAAATTGAACTGTAATATATAAGGAAGTAATGATGACTGTGCAAATATTTGCACTTTGTGGTCCATTATTATTTCACGTTTCAAGTGACTGTTTACAGTTTACTAACCTCAGAAAGCTGTACAGAGCAAATGAGAGATCTGAGGGAAAGTAGTAAAAAGTACTCCAAATGATCTCTGAGAATTCCTGTTACATACTTGTCATTTATTCACAAGAATTTTATACAATGACATATTCTTTCATGTTTAAGGAGAATGTCTTCTCAGACAGTGTTTCAAAATCAGTAACTTTAGTTAAATGTTACAACTATAGAAGTCTAAAAAATAAGTCATATTGCTCAAACACTGTGAATTGTTATAATTTGTGAACGTAAAGGTTACATTTAGGATGACTCTGTGGTGTTTGGTAACTAGACCTAGATAGATTTTTCAGTTTAAAAAATTAGGCCAGGCACAGTGGCTCATGCCTGTAAACACAGCACTTCAGGAGGCCAAGACAGGAGGATTGCTTGAGCCCAGGAGTTCAAGACTAGCCTGGGCAACATAGCAAGACTTCATCTCTACAAAAAAAATTTTTAAAAATTAGCTGGGTGGAGTGATGTGTGTCTTTAGTTCCAGCTACTCAGGAGACTGAGGTGGAAGGATTGCCTGAGCCTAGGATTTTGAGGCTGCAGTGAGTTGTGATGGTGCCACTGCACTCCAGCCTGGGCAACTGAATTAGAACCCCCCAACTCAAAACAACAACAACAAAAAAAATCATAAGCATTTCTGAATAGAAGAAGCATTCCCAGTGTTGAAAGCAAATAATCCTCTCTTTACCCTCTTACCATCTTTCCTTACCCCTCAAATACATGCTTTGAACCCTTTACTACTTCATTCTCTGTGATGTTATTATATTAAGTGTAAATCTTAATAAGTCCCAATTCCTTGAATTTGAATGTATTGAGACTTGAGGTCTAGCATTTTGCCTAGTTTATTCTATATTTAAAATAACGTTTTTGGCAGGGTTAGACAGTAAACAGCTATAGTAGTAGGGGCCCAAACCACAATGAATACTGCTGAATGTCATGTTACAAACCTGCCTCTTGAGTCCTTAAAATAAACTTCTAAAAGTAGCTATGGCAACCGAACCTGAAATACTGTTACCAGAAGGGATTTTGTGTTTTAGTTTCTTCATCCAGTTCTCACGTGTGTTTATAAGGCAGTACCTTACAGATTGATTATGAAGAGGACTATGACATGTATCCAAGCATAAAGTTATATGGAAACTATGAAACAGTTTGTTTAGATTACTTGTTATTTCTTCTGTAACTAAGATTATAGTTCAGACACTTCAATCTGAATATGATTGTTAAACAGTAACATAAATGCCAGAATTATAGCCAGAGACTAAGGTAGTAAGTAATTTGATGTTCGGGCAATTTTAATTTTAGGGACATTGTCCTTAGGTTTTGGTATTTTCCAACAATTGTACCATTTATGATTTTATTTTATTTTAGCCATGCCCTTTGGGTTCCCGAGATTTTCGAGAGAAACAGTGTGCAGACTTTGACAATATGCCTTTCCGAGGAAAGTATTATAACTGGAAACCCTATACTGGAGGTAATGTATAACCTGGTAGAGCATTCATGCTTCAGAGCCTTGCAAACATAAAAGAATATATAAATACATAAAAGCACACACATTCATTCATGCATACACTAGTTAAAATTAGTGTTTGCAAATAAGCACAGGAAAGTACTTATAGTACTATAAAGGTCTAATGTCTTCTTTTCCCCATAATAAAGTTTATATGTTAGTACAAATGATCAGAAATCATTTTCTAAAACCCAATTCTGTTTAACAAGGTGCAGAATTCCTAGAAAGGATGTCTACATATTAAAACCATATAGCATTTTTGAGTTCTGCTTGAGACTTCCTTGGGGTGTATGTAAATTGCATTATAATCTTTAAATATTTATAATTATCACCCTAAAACAAAATATAATAATATAAATCAGGAAAATCTGTGTTCTTTCTTAGTCAAGGGCCAAAGATCATTCCACAGATTATTAATACTCTTTTTCAGAGTTAGGACACATTTCTACTCTTATTTGTGTAGGTATCAAGCACGAATTGTTCAATAAGCAGAAGTATTTTTATAGTCCCAAAATATAAACTAAATTTTGTTGAAATGTTCTCTCAGAAAAATTGAATTTACTTTTAAGAAACGTTTACTGTTTGTTTTTCTAAAATTTTATTTTAGAAATTATCCAATAGAGCAATATTAAAAGAGTTTTACAGTGACAACTGTATATTCACTACCAAAATTCTACCGTTAACATTTTACTATACTTCATGCATGTTTTTTAACTCTCTATTCATTTATTACTTCATTTTGTTTTTTGATGTATTTCAAAGTAAACTGCAGTCATTCATATACTTTTCTCTCAATATTTCAGCATGTGTAACATTAACCATGGTTCAGTATTTGTCTACTTTTTTCTTGAGGTAATATTACTTAAAATTATATGCAAAAATCCTAACTGTCCTATCTCTGAATTTTGACAAATGCATACACCTGTAAAACCCTGTTGAGCTGTAGAGCATTACCTTTTCCTCCAAAATTCTCGGTCAGTTTTAGACTGCTATAACAAATTGCCGTAGACTGGGGATCTTAAACAATAGAAATGTATTTCTTACCATTCTGGAAGCTAAACATCTCAGATCAGGATGCCATTGTGGTTGGATTTTGGTGAAGGCCCTCTTCTGGCTTGTAGACCGGTTTTCCTTCTCATGGTAGCCTCCCATGCTAGAAAGAGGGAGAAAGAACTTTCTGGGGGACCCTTTTATAAGGGTGTTAATCCCGTTCAAAAGCCTTCACCCTCATGATCTAATTACTTCCTAAAGGTCCCACCTTCACATTGAGGGTTAAAATTTCAACATATGAGTTTTGAGGGGACACAAACATTTAGCCCATGAAAGTCCTCATAGTCCTTAGCAGTCAATAGCTGCCTCTGCCTACTCTGCCCAAGATATAACCCTTGTTCTGATTTTTTTTCTCGCTATAGTTTAGTTTTGCCTGCTCTAGAACTTCATACTTGACTGTATAACTCTTCTTTGAGACTAATGTTTTTGAGATCTATCCACGTTGTTGTATATTGAAGTACTTAATTCTAGTTGGGTGTGGTGGTACACACTTGTAGTCCAGCTATTTGGAAGGCTGAGGTGAGGATCACTCGAGCCCAGGAGTTCTCTTAAAAAAAAAAAAAAAAAAAAAAAAAAAGAGAGAGAGAGGAAAAAAAAAGAAAAAGGGAGTTCATTCCTTTTTATTGTTAAGCGGTATTTCATTGTAGTAACCAGTTTGTTTTTTCATTCTGCTATTGATGAGCACCTGGATTGTTTCTAGTTTTTAGCTGCTATGAACATTTGTGTACAATCTTTTTGTGAGCACATGTTTTCATTTTACTTGGGTAAATACTTAGGGATGGAATTGCTGGGCATTGGAGTAGATGTGAGTTTAGTTTTAAAAGAAACTGCTGATGTTTTTTATAGTGAGTGTACCACATTACACTCCCATCAACAATATATGAGTGTTCTGTTTGCTGCACCACCATGCCAGTATTTGGTGTTTTCAATCTTCTTCTGGTGGAGGTAGTGTGACATTTCAATGAAGTTTCAGTTTTCATTTTCTGATGTTTATGTTAAGCATGTTTTCATGTACTTATTGGCCATTTATATATTTTCTTTTGTACTGTCCAAATCTTTTGCCTATTTTTAAATTGGGTTATTTATCTTCTCAAGTGGTAGTCATTTATCAGATAAGTTTTACAAATATTTTGTCACATTCCATGGCTTTCCTGTTTTTAAATGGTGGGGGTTTTATGGTGCATGTGTTTTTAATTCTAATTTTTCAATAATTTTTCTTTAAAATTATTGTGTTCTGTGTACTGTCTAAGAAGTCTTTGTCTACCTTAACTCACGAAGATATTTTCTTATATTTTCTTCTAAAAGCCTATGGTTTAATCCTTGCATTTAGATCTGTGATCTATATCAAAATAATTTTTGCTATGATATATATTTGTAGTATATTTATGGATTTTCTATTTTGTTTCCTTGATCCATTTGTCAATTCTATGCCAGTATCCAACTGATCTGATTATTGTAACTGTACACTCAAACACAGGTAGTGCAAATTCCACCAGCTTCGATTTTTTTTTCAAGAGTTCTTCAGATATTCTAACTGGTGGGCTCCAGTGATTCTTCCTCCTCATTTTCATATAAATTTCTGAATCAGTTGTTAATGTCCATAGTAAAACCTGCTGAACTTATGAATGTTGTTATGTTGAATCTATTGATCAATGGAGAGAGAACTGAGATATTAACAATATTGAATTTTTCAATCTATGTACATTGTATATCTATTTATGTCTTCTTTAATTTATCTCAGCTATATTTTAGATGTAAGGCCCTGCAAATCTTTTATTAAGTCTATTCATAAGTAATTCTTGGTTTTGCCCTTACTGTTAATAAAACTTTTGAAAATTTCATTTTCACTTTATTTTTCTAGTGTATAAAATAAAATTGACTTTTGTATATTTACTTTGTATTCTGTAACCTCCCTAAATTTTTATATTCTGATAGTTTTTTATGTAGATGCTTAGATTTTCTTGGTAAACAGTCATGTGACCTGGGAATAGAGACAATCTATTTCAATTGTTATGCCTTTTATTTTATTTTATTGCCTTAATATATTGAACTGGGCCTACATGTAATTTGTACACGTATTGATAGTATTTTTTTCTTCCTTATTAATATGCTGAATGACTTGGTAGATTTTACAATCTCAAACCAACTTTATATTCCCAGGATAAGCTCCATGTGGTGATGATGTATTATGTTTTGTATGTTATTAGATTTAATTGCTAATGTTTTATTAAGGATATTTGCATCTGTATTCATAAAAGTAAATATTTTTCTTGTGATGTCTTTAGCAAGTTTTGGTATCAGAGGTATTCTGGCTTTCCTAAATAGAATCCTTGTTTATTCTAAAAGAGAGTTTTAGGATTGGTATTATTTCTTCCTTAGAATAGATTTCACCAGTAAAACCACCCAAACTTGGCATTTTCTTTGTGAAAATCTTTTTTAGTAAAGATTCAACTCCTTTCATACATAAAGGGTTATTCGGGTTTTGGGGAGTTTTTTGTTTTGTTTTTGAATTGAAGTCTCACTCTGTCGCCCAGGCTGGAGTGCAATGGCACACTCACAACTACCCCAGTGGCAACCTGGTGGGCTCCAGTGATCCTTCCTCTTCAGCCTTACAAGTAGCCAGAACTACAGGCACGCTACCACACCCGGCTAATTTTTTTTCATTTATTGTAGAGACGAGGTCTCACCAAGTTGCCTGACCTGGTCTCGAACCCAGGGGCTCAGGCAATCCACTCGCCTTGGCCTCCCAGAGTGCTGGGATTACAGGCTGACCCACCGAGCCCAGCCTAATTGGGTTTTTAATTTTTTTTCTTTTGTTTTTATTTTTGATTTTGTGTCTTTAAGAAAGGTATGTGAAATCTATGTTGTCCAATTTGTTGACATAAAATTGATTATAACATTCTCTTATTATCATGTTTAATATGTATAAAATTCGTAGTGATATATACTTTTTCATTTCTGATGTTGGTTATTGTGTTTCCTCTGTTTTTCCTGGTCAGTCTTGCTTAGGGTTTATCAATTTTATTAATTTTTTCAAATAACTACATTTTGACTTTAGTACTTTTTCTGTAATTTGTCTTTTTTAAATGTATTATTTTGCTCCTATTTTATTATTTATTTCTGTTTCTTTTACTCATCTACATTTCCAAAAGTTGGTACGTTCTATTTTTATTTTCTTCAATTAAAAATATTTTATTTACATTGTGAATTCTTCTTTGATCGATGGGTTACTTAGAACTATGGTGTTTTGATTTTCGAATATTTGAGATTTTCTAGAAATCTTTGTATTACTCATGAATAATTGCATTAAGATTAGAGAATACTCTCTATTCTTGGTGAATATTCTACATATACTTGAAAAAAAGTGTTTTCTGCAGTTGTTGACGATATAGTATTCTGTAGATATCCATGAGATCAATTTGGCTGAGAATGTTGTTCAATCTTTTATATTCTTTCTGACTTATTCTGTTCTAGTTCTATCAATTATTGAGAGATTAAAATCTTTAACAATTCTACTAGTATAGCTTTGCTTTCATTTTTTGTAAAGTTTTGTTTCATGTATTTGAGTATTTTTTCATTTAGGTGTATATATATTTGAGATTGTTTTGTCTTAGTGCAGAAGGAAAAGAAGTGCCTGAAATAATTCACAAATTTAATAATTACTATCTACATAATTTTGTGCATAGTGAATTAACTGAATTCATAATAAGCTTTAATTTAAGGCAATTGGTTAATATGACCTTTCACTTAGAGAATTAAGTTAACAACCTTACTTTTATTTTTCAACTTCACTGAAATATAACTGACAAACAAAAATTGTATATTGTTAAGGTGTACAATGTGATGTTTTGATTTACATATATATTATGAAATGATTACCATAATCAAGCAAATTAACATATCTATTACCTCAC